CCCTAAATGCATTGAAGCAACTGCCATGTGATTGGTTGATTAGATAATTGCATTAATGAGAAATTGAACAGGTGTTCCTAATAATCCTTTAGGTGAGAGTATATATACACACACACACACACACACACACACACACACAAAATCGATTAAATTCTCCGAAGACAAATTTCGCCAAGTTCCCCATGATACATTTTGCTGACCAGCTACCAGACTACTTCAAAAAAAAATCTGTTGAAATTTAATTGCGTCCAGTTTGGTACCCATACAATGCCTCTACACAGACATGTGTGCGCACTCTCACCAGCGGACAGAGAGCGCGTGCCGGAAAATATGTCGAATCAAACACCTGAAAAGCAGAAAAAAATATCTGCGTTTTTTTAAACGCTCCCAGGGTGGTGAAGATGGCAACACTCGCTCTCCTGCGAGGAGCAGCCGGAATAGCTCTTTGTGGATAATTGTCATAAAAAGATATGTTCTGATGTTTAGTTCAGTTGTTCTATTTACTGCTGTCAAAAAAGAAACATATGAACACCATGAATTCTGTCTGTCCCCCCCTCCCAAAGCTGTAAACCTAGGGGAAACACAGAGCATGTTTCATGGAATAAAATCATCTTTGCACACTATTCTTTAGCAGAAAGATTAACTAAAGCCCAACCGATACAGGATTTTCTGATACCAAAACCAATTTAGATCTGATGATTCAAAAATTCAATAGATACACTGGTTGATATAAATTTTTCATTTTCCTGAAATAAAGATTTTCCTCAACATTTGTGTGTAGTTATGTAAAAGTACTCACTATGACAAAACGCAGTTTAGGAATAAACTTATTCTACTGTCATAAATAATACTTCGAACAGAAGTACAACAAAATATTAAAGTTTCAGTCAAATGCATGTTCCAAACAAGTGGGTTGCTAACAAGAGAGTTGTGATGTACCCTCTGGTGGACAAACTACGCAATGGCAAAATTCATAACGGTTTAAGGACTTCTTCCAGCTCTCTGTTTAACTGCCATTTATTGACCATCATAAATGCTAATAGTGATTTATCTGCAATTGGCTCATACTGGCATATTGGTCAGGCTCCAATGTCAACAAGAGATCATATCCAATAAGCAATATTTACTACAAAGCCAACAGATTTTTACAAAACTAAACCATTTGTCATGGCTTGCAGGGCCCAGTAGTGTGACACTCTTGCCTTACCACCAAACTTCAACTGTTAGCCATCTACTCCAATACTGCAAGGGTTGTACAGTTATCAACGTTGTTAAAATTATTTCCCCAACTTTCACACGTTGCATTTTGCAAAATTTAGTGCAATTTAGCCAGGGATGCTAAAAGCATAAACACAATGGGTCAATTGCAGCCCACTTGCCGATTTAGAATGCAGGTGCTGGTTGTTGCAGGCCCCCTGGTACAGTAGGAGGTCCGCAGTTTTGACCTGAATTGCAGTATGAAAATGTTCAGCTGGTACAGTAGTTTCCAGCATATCAAGATTAACCACTGTTGCTCAGCACAAAAAAAAAAGTTGATGCAGATTAATTATGTAGGGTTCGTTGTAAGTAAAGATGACTTTTAATAAACATGAATTAAAGTGGCTTTAAAAGTTACTTTAAATAAGATGCTAATAAATAAAACATGACATTTCGCTGTTCCATAGGCTACTGCTGCCAATGCAAAAATAAATGCAAAAAGACTGTGGCGATCAAAATTAGAGAACGTGCCGTTCTATTATACACCCAGCTTATCTGAAATAAAAGTTATTCTAACATGAATAGATGTATTTTAATCATATTTCATCAGTAAAAGCTATGCCACATCACAAAATACATGGTTTAAACAAGAAAACTGAAGAATGCATACGATCAAAATTTGTTATACTTGACAGTTTTTGGATCTAATCAGAAACATCTGGCAACCATGATCTATTTGGCAACATTGCTACGCATTTTGCAAGATGGTGGACCTCTCCAAGGTGACCGAAACACTGACATTAGGTTATTCAATTCTCAAATATTGAAGCTGTACAATAAAACTAAGGGCATTTTTCCACTGCACCAGGTACTGAACTTTCGGTACTTCCCCAAAGTACCGAAAGTACAGTACTTCAAGGTGTTGGTTTCCCACTGGTGCAAAAACTAGTACTGTCACCAAATGACAACACATATTTTGTACTGAATTTGAAATGGCTGCAGTGTATTATAGGGCTGGATGATATGTAATATTAATGACATATTATGCACATCCAATTCTTTATATTGCTAGTCAGCAGTATTAAAATAAGGCTTTCTTACTTTCAATTCTGTACGAACATCAAGGGTTAAAGTTTCGCTAAAATATTATTACTGTCTTACTCTATCATAAGGGGGGGGGGAAAAAAAAAAAAAAAAAAACTTAGCAGGCTTTGGAATTTTAATTATTTCTTTTATACATTGGTGGAGTGGTGGCTCTGAGGCTAGGGATCTGTGCCAGAAACTGGAAGATTGCTGGTTCAAATCCCATGAATTGCCAGAGTCATTCTACTACATTGAGCCCTTGAGAATGGCCCTTAACCTGCAATTGCTTCGTCTTGGGAATGATGTTAATCTACATCCAGCCCCATAAAGAGATCCTCCAACTTACAGGGAATAACTTGGGGATTGGTGGCAGGATTGGCACTGCAGCCACTGGGAAAAAACCTCACTGGCACTTTTGGTACTGGAACTCGACCAGAAGTCACTGGAAAAGCAAAAGTACTGAAAGTACTGTACCAAAAGTACCATACTTGGTGCAGAGGAAAGGTTTCTTCTACAATTTTTTTTTTAACCATTCTCTAATTTTCATCGCATGCCTTCTTCAAATTTCTTGTTTAAACCATCCTAATAACGATCCCATCCGAATAACGATCCTTTGCTATCTATGCTCTTATTTAATTTCTATTTACTTTTATCATCTGTAATCTACACTGAATGTGAATACATCTTATTTTAAACCAACTATGTGAACAATTAGGCGTATGAAATGTGACATGAAACAGGTAGTTTTTTTACAAAAATACAATAGTAGTTGTGCTACTGATTTGAAATTTCAACATTGCAGTGTACCATGATCGGTCAGAATATGTGATGAGGTAGTTAGTCCATCTCAGGAGTAGTATTTTCTTTTTAGTGTCCAAAAGAGGGCAGCAGCTATTCTGTGGTGTTGGTTGCAATTGGGACCTTTTTTTAATCTATAATTTCGGACTTTTTTCTTTGACTAAGTTGGTCGCTATTAGTATTAAGGTGTTGTACTAATCTTGTGTGAAGCTGCATGCTAACTAGGCCATCAACAGAGGTACCGTATATTCTGTTGGTTGCAACGCTTTTTTCTCCTCCTAACAAGCGCTTACCTTGAAGTCGACCCGGATCTTGTGTGAAGGTTGGGAGGGTTCCTTTTCCCTCTGGGCAAAGCCATTAGCCAGCGCAGCCAGGACACTGGGAGGTGTCTGCTCCAGGGGACTCTGAGAACGAGCAAGACATGGCAGATCAAAGCAGGCATTGTCAAGCATGACTTCCTCAGCCTTGAGCTGCTCACCAGCACCCTCTGCCTGCACATGTGGAGCTGGCAGACCATGTGCGTCTATATTCAGGGGAGCTGACTCAGTCAGCAGAAACAAGGGCTCTAATAGCAGGTCCTCCTGCTCAGACCCTGTGTCCTCCTGTTCGGAGCATAATGGTGACTGCACTATTTGCAGGAGCAACTCCTGTGCCTGCAGGTTATTCCTCTCTGCCTGGTCGTCATCCTCAGGGTCGCCCGTTGGCCCCCAGCTGTGCCGGTGAGGGGTAGGACCGCTAAAGCCAGAGCCAAAAAGCAGGAGAAGAATACAAGCAGCTACGTGCTATGAAAAAGGAAGGAGACAGGAATTCCCACCACAAAGTGCACAGGGATAGGGATGCGGATGAAAGGAGGGAAAAGTGCAGACACCACAGCACTTCCCACAGGCACGTCATCCACCTCAGAGAGCCACCGTCGGTGTTAATCCATGCAGCCAGGGGTAAGGAAGCAACGATAAATGTGTAAAAAGGGAGTAACAACAAAATACAAGAGCATCCTTTTGACATGAACCTGTCGGCCCCTAAAGCACAAACACTGCGAATTGGACTTCACAAGGCTTTGGCAGCAGTTACCTTTTCTACTTTGCGTCGCCCTAATGGGCCTCTGTGCTGCCCTGAGCGACGACCCCTCATGCCATCTTCAGAGGTATCACCTGGCAACCCATCCATGGACCCAAAATCTACAGAAAAACAGCGCAATGAATACAATTGTTGGAAAGCATCCCCCATCACTGGGTAAAGGAGAGTCATATTCTAGGCCAGGTGCATTTGGACCGGCCACTGCTTCCCAATCCTGTTTCCACCCTCCCCACTCATACCCTGACTGCGGGGGCCTGTAGACCTTCTCCGAGGGGATGCCGAGTTAGTGCTCCCCATCAGGTCTAGGTCCGAGTCATAATCCAGAAGGTCACAGTAAGAGCGCTGCTTGACACAGCGACGTGGCTGTTTCCGGAGCGATGGGCTTTGGCCATCAGGAAGGCCTGTGGGCGACACTCTACCCCCATCCCCAGCATCCCCTTCCTCATTGCTGGAATGGCATACACTGGCCGATGAGCGTCTCCGCTTCCCATGGCCTGAGAAAGGGTTCAATAACATAATAAAGGAAAGCGTTACTTCAACAAGAGAGGATCTCATTATAAAGTCAGTTCTTAAACATTTAGGTGTCATGTGTAATAGCGACATCCTGTGTGCATACAGTGCAAGTGTAGGCAGTCATACCTTTGTAAAGCTTCCCTCCTAAACGCAGTGCCTTTTTTTCCTCAATCCAATCGCACCTTTTATACCTAAAAGAGAAGGACCCAATTAAATAAGAATTCATGCTAAATTACAGGACTGCTTAATAAAAATTCAAAAATACAATGTCTCTCACACAGTGAGGGACCTTCTGAAATCACTTACACACAGCACTGACGCTTGGTGTTAGGTCCACCGAACTTTGGCTTGTCCAGGCAGTTCATGCACTTGCCGCAATCCTCTTCGTGCAAGCATCCCTTGCACTTGCCGCATCTGCGAGATCTCAAGCCGAAGCCCCCAAAGTCACCCCTGAACCGGCCCCCACATGACTTCCTCCCCTTAAGAGTTTTCTGGTCTTGTAGAGTGGGACTCTCTGGTTCAGATGGTGACACACCTGCAAAATATCAATGCAAGTCATCTTATACAAGAATGGTCACTAAGAGGATCAACGTTTAAAGGTGAATATTAATCCCTCACTAAAACAGACAAGTTTTAAGGTATGGCAAGAAAAGCTGTTGAGGCATTTTTACCACCCAAATCACTTTTGTCATAATCCATGTGACACAGAATACTTCTAAACTCTTCCAGGCAAGGCTACCAAAAGATCAACAGAATTAAACCACAAAATAATACTCCAATAACTTCAAATTCAGAATTATATTACCAAATTGGAGGAGATCAGTGACTTGCAAGCAATGTCTGCTGAGCTACTCATAACTCAAAGTTCTACGAACTTATTGCTTTTCCCATGCTAATTTGGCATATCTCCCTGTTCCTGCTGTCTGGTGTGAAAGCGATACACAAAAGTGGGCAGAAGCTACAAAGGTTCCAGGTCAATACAGACCAGGGACTTGTAAATCAGGCACTTTGGTGTGAAAGTGCCTAATAGTAGCTACTGACTCACAGAAAAGGGGACTCATAGTTTTCTTTTGGCATTTGTCTAACCGCTGCAGAAATGATAGCTTTACCTTGTGCTGCTGGAGAGGAGGGGATGGTCTCTCTCTCGTGAAGGGGAAGGGCGCTCAGTCTCGGAACGTCATCTGGCACCATGGCACGAGGCTGGCCCAGCACGACAGCGGCATCTCGGCACACATGCTTGATCCGTGGCCCTCCCACACGCTGCTTAACAGGGAGTAAGAGAGAAGATAGTCACTGTTACAAGTGATAGGCACCATATGAATAAATACAACACAAAAAGAGCAGGCTGTAATTCATATATTCAAAGGCAGCAGTACCACGGCTAACGACACAGCTACCGAAATACTGTAGATGACTGAACCGGACAATCAGCCATTCAGACAAGGGATTTTGTCGGCTCATTCACCACTTTGAAGCTTGATACAGTGTCCCAAATTGGAGCTACTTTGCTGGTGTCTCGCTGTCTGCATTTGTGGATGCACTAGCGAAATGTTTCAGTGAGATTTTAGGTGCTCAAAGGTTAGCTGGATATTGGTAATATTAATCAAAAATATATTATCGTATTGTCTAAATTCCACATTGGTGCATCACAATTTTAGTGTTAATGAACTTTAACCCTCTGGGGTCGACAGCATAGCTGGCAAAGCCGCATATCCTTCTCATGTATTTCAGTTCATAACTCACTGAAATCTTATTGTAGAAACATGGGAAAAAAAACGCTGACTAAATCCGTAATCTGTCTTCTTTTCAAAACATCCATTGTCGGAAGAATTAAAGTTTTTTAGATTAGGTTAACCCTCTGGGGTCGAGTGTGTCGTCAAGTATTTTTCACATTTATTTCAGTTTACCTCTCCTGGAGCCGACACCTTATCGTGGTGGAGGCGTTTGCGTGTTCCAATGATCCCAGGAGCTAAGTTGCCTGGGGCTTTATGCCCCTGGTAGGGTCACCCAAGGCAAACAGGTCCTGGTTGAGGAACCAGACGAAGTGCGGCTCACAAGACCCCTTATGATGAGTTATAACATGGATCCACGATTTCCTTTGCCCGGACGTGGGTCACCGGGGCCCCCCCCTGGAGCCAGGCCTGGGGGTGGGGCTCGATGGCGAGCGCCTGGTGGCCAGGCCTGCACCCATGGGGCCTGGTTGGGCACAGCCCGAACAAGGCACGTGGGTCTCCCCTCCAATGGGCTCACCACCTGTAGGAGGGGCCATAGGGGTCGGGTGCAGTGCGAGTTGGACAGTGGCTGAAGGCGGGGAACTTGGCGATCTGATCCTCGGCTGCAGAAGCTAGCTCTAGGGACATGGAATGTCACCTCTCTGTTGGGGAAGGAGCCTGAGCTGGTGCGCGAGGCAGTGAAGTTCTGACTAGATGTAGTCGGGCTCACCTCGACACATGGCCTGGGCTCTGGAACCAGTCTCCTCGAAGGGGGTTGGACCCTCTTCCACTCAGGAGTTGCTCACGGGGAGAGGCGCCGAGCTGGAGTTGGCATACTTATTGCCCACTTGCTGGGCGCCTGTACATTGGGGTTTACCGCGGTGGACGAGAGGGTAGCCTCCCTTCACCTTCGGGTGGGGGGACGGGTCCTGACTGTTGTTTGCGCTTATGTGCCAAACGGCAGTTCAGAATACCCACCCTTTTTGGAGTCCTTGGAAGGGGTGTTGGAGAGCGCTCCTCCCGGTGACTGTCTTGTTCTGCTGGGGGACTTCAATGCTCACATGGGCAATGACAGTGAGACCTGGAGGAGCGTGATTGGGAGGAACGCCCCCCCCGATCTGAACCCGAGTGGTGTTTTATTATTGGACTTCTGTGCCCGTCACGGATTGTCCATAATGAACACCATGTTCAGGCATAAGGGTGTCCATATGTGCACTTGGCACCAGGACACCCTAGGCCGCAGTTCGATGATCGACTTTGTGGTCGTGTCATCGGACTTGCGGCCGCATGTATTGGACACTCGGGTGAGGAGAGGGGCGGAGCTGTCAACCGATCACCACCTGGTGGTGGGTTGGCTCCACTGGTGGGGGAGGAAGCCGGTCAGACATGGTAGGCCCAAGCGTATAGTGCGGGTCTGCTGGGAACGTCTGGCGGAATCCCCTGTCAGGGGGAGTTTCAACTCCTACCTCCGGCAGAACTTTGCCCATGTTCCGGGGGAGGCGGGGGACATTGAGTCCGAATGGGCCATGTTCCGCGCCTCCATTGTCGAGGCGGCTGACCGGAGCTGTGGCCGTAAGGTGGTCGGTGCTTGTCGCGGCGGCAATCCCCGAACCCGCTGGTGGACATCGGCGGTGAGGGACGCCGTCAAGCTGAAGAAGGAGTCCTATCGGGCCTTTTTGGCCTGTGGGACTCCGGAAGCAGCTTATGAGTACCGGTGGGGCAAGCGGAACGCGGCTTCGGCGGTCGCTGAGGCAAAAACTCGGGTATGGGAGGAGTTTGGCGAGACCATGGAGAACGACTTCGAGGAGATTCTGGTCCACCATCCGGCATCTCAGAGCGGGAAAGCGGTGCAGCATCAACACTGTTTATGGTGGGGATGGTGCACTGACGACCTCAGCTCAGGATGTTGTGGGTCGGTGGAGGGAATACTTCGAAGACCTCCTCAATCCCACCGACAAGCCTTCCAATGAGGAAGCAGGGTCTGGGGACTTGGGGGTGGACTCGCCTATCTCTGGGGCAGAGGTCGCTGAGGTGGTTAAAAAGCTCCTCAGTGGCCGGGCCCCGGGGGTGGATGAGATCCGCCCGGAGTTCCTCAAGGCTCTGGATGTTGCGGGGCTGTCTTGGTTGACACGCATCTGCGGCATCGCGTGGACATCGGGGGTGGTGCCTCTGGATTGGCAGACTCTGGATTAGGTGGTGGTCCCCCTCTTCAAGAAGGGGGACCGGAGGGTGTGTTCCAACTATAGGGGGATCACACTCCTCAGCCTCCCTGGTAAGGTCTATTCGGGGGTGCTCGGATTCAGGAGGAGCAGTGTGGTTTTCGCCCTGGCCGTGGAACAGTGGACCAGCTCTATACTCTCGGCAGGGTCCTTGAGGGTGCGTCGGAGTTTGCCCAACCAGTCTACATGTGCTTTGTGGACTTGGAGAAGGCATTCAACCGCGTCCCTCAGGGAGTCCTGTGGGGAGTGCTCCAGGAGTATGGGGTGCCGGGCTGCCTTATAAGGGCTGTTCGGTCCCTGTACAACCGGTGTCAGAGCTTGGTCCGTATTGCCGGCAGTAAGTCGGACTCGTTCCCGGTGAGGGTTGGACTCCGCCAGGGCTGCCCTTTATCATAACTTTTATGGGACAGAATTTCTAGGCGCAGCCAGGGCGTTGAGGGTGTCCGGTTTGGTGACCTCAGGATTAGGTCTCTGCTTTTTGCAGATGACGTGGTTCTGTTGGCCTCATCAGACCATGACCTTCGGCTCTCACTGGAGCAGTTCGCAGCCGAGTGTGAAGCGGCTGGAATGAAAATCAGCACCTCCAAATCCGAGACCATGGACCTCAGCCGGAAAAGGGTGGAGTGCTCTCTCCGGGTCAGGGAGGAGGTCCTTCCCCAAGTGGAGGAGTTTAAGCATCTTGGGGTCTTGTTCACGAGTGAGGGAAGGATGGAACAGGAGATCAACAGGCGGATCGGTGCAGAGTCAGCAGTGATGCGGGCGCTGCATCGGTCTGTCGTGGTGAAGAAGGAGCTGAGCCAAAAGGCAAAGGCTCTCAATTTACCAGTCGATCTACGTTCCTACCCTCACCTATGGTCACGAGCTGTGGGTAGTGATCGAAAGAACGAGATCGCGAGTGCAAGCGGCCGAAATGAGTTTCCTCCGCAGGGTAGCTGGGCTATCCATTAGAGATAGGGTGAGGAGCTCGGTCATTCGGGAGGGACTCGGAGTAGAGCCGCTGCTCCTCCGCATTGAGAGGAGCCAGATGAGGTGGCTCGGGCATCTGCTTAGGATGCCTCCTGGACGCCTCCCTGGTGAGGTGTTACAGGCATGTCCCACTGGGAGGAGGCCCCAGGGAAGACCCAGGACACGCTGGAGGGACTATGTCTCTTGGCTGGCCTGGGAACGCCTCGGGATTCCCCCAGAGGAGCTGGAAGAAGTGGCCAGGGAGAGGGAAGTCTGGGTTTCCCTACTGAGACTGCTGCCCCCGCGACCCGACCTCGGATAAGAGGAAGCTAATGGCTGGATGGATGGATATTTCAGTTTATATCTCGCTGAAATCTTATTGTAGAATTATGAAAAAAAATCCTGGCTAAATCCGTAATCTGTCTTCTTTTCAAAACATCCATTGTCGGAAGTATTAACGTTTTTAAAATTAGGTTAAATCTGCAAAAAAGTAAACTGTCACCTTTCTTTGTTTTACCTGCATCAGGAGCGTGTAGTACCACCCTAACATGAAGAACGCTATTCGCATTCTAAATAGCTGCATTACTGCATAATTTGATGAACAAAGCAACGGTGAAATGCAATCCAGATACATCCCCCATCAGCGCCATAAAAGGGGGGGCTGTGTGGCCAGGTGTGAATGGCTCATGCATGCACATGAGAGCTCCTACATATTCAATGGAAGGAGACCAGAAATAGTGACATGGGTTAGGTTTTTCTTATTCATTCACAGGTGAAAAGTATTCTACTGTGTCGGATACGGGTTCAGGTCAGACGTAGGAGAGCGCGGGTCTAAATTTTGGTTTTCAAAACATAATGTGCCAACAAAAAATACCCAAGGACTATATTTTAATAACACACAAAAAATCCCTGCATTCAAGATAAAACGTAAAATCCATATCAGTTCATGCCTGCATGCACATTCCCGGAAACCTCTCCCACTTTCATTTTTGAAAACACGCATGCGATCTCCTGCAGTTGTTCGAAATGGATGCTGAGGAGTTGAAATGAAAACTAGCAAGTGGAGAGTTTAAAGTTGTGGCCAATACCTCCACTAAAATCAAGTTCGACATGTGGGAGAATTTTGGAGTTCTCAGATAACGAAAACAATGTTGGTAAACATTGTCACTGCGTGTAAAACATGCCTGAAAGTTTTTGTGTGTGATAGCCACAGATGTGGAACTTCATCGCTTAGGAAGCATGCTTTCTCATGCGCCGGATATGTAATCCAGGAGTGAAGGAGTCAGCTGAGGCCATCAGCTGTGGACAATATCCTTTAACACAGTAATATAAAGCACCACACGAAACACTAGTCTATGCCTCCCCGTAGGAATTCCAATCGGGTAATTTTATTTTATTTCTGTCGGATAATGGTTCGGATATGGGTTTAAGTATGACAGGTACAGGCGGGTGCAGTTTGTCAAAAAATGACAAGTGATGTCATTTAAATCTGATACTTCCCCTGTCTTGTTTAGCTTGAAAAATAAAAATCTGTAATATCTTAGTAGTTACAGAAATTAAGCCAGTTGCAGCCGAATGAGCAAATCTTACATGTAGTCTTATAAGCCAATATACAGGCTACACTGCAAGCGTACAAAGCTAAAACACTGCAACAAAGCTGTTGATATCGCAACAATAACATCACTATATCACCCAAGCCTAGCAATGATTTCTCTAAATGAAGACCAGTTGTTCGTACCTGAGGAATACCATTTTGAGGTCCTCTCTCAAGGCGCTCTTTCAGTTTCCTTCTCCTCCTTTTCACAACCACCATGCTTGGATCTCGAGAACCCATATTCTGAGATCCAGAAAGAAGCTGGAAGTGCAAAACAAGCAGGAAGTATAGACACTGTATTACAATGTTTTCTTTCTACACTACATACTTTACTATTATTACCAACAGTAATTTCAAAATGGACACATATGTAGTTTTTCCACAGCTGATATTAGACATTGTAAAACCAAGTCATTACCTGAGAAGACTTCAGTTGTTTCTGCTGGTCAATTTTAATGAGCTGGACCTTTGCTCTCTTTAAAAGATGAAACATCCTCTTGTTTGCACCGGTGAGACGAATTCTGTGGGAGGTACCCTTCTCTTCCAGAACCACTCGGTCACTTTCTGCACTATGATCAAGCTCTTCCTTGGAGTCTTGCTTTTGACCTTCTGGGTCAATCGATTCTCCTGTAGAGGATACTAACAAACATAAAAGCCTATTTAAGGATTGGTTGTTAAATCCATTTATATTGCATAGTACTGATATAACCCATGCCAAAACTCAGAAACAGCAATTTTAAAACACTTTATATTTTAACTTACTCTATGACCTTATCAAAATAGGCAAAAGGAAGACAGTTTTACCTTTTGGCACATCCATTGGCCCGGTGGAGTCTAAAGCCCTCTCAGTTTTGCTTTCTTCTTCTACTGGGTCTGTAGTCCTATCAGACTTGTTTTTCTCATTTGCAGCACTCCGTTCAATGTGAGATTTCAACATTTCAGAAGTAAGTGTGCGGACACAAACTGACACTTTACGTACAACACCTGGAGAGTCAAGGTCCTCTATCTTCAACTTGCCTTTTTCCAAGTTGGAGAGCAAAGAACAAGGTCTGGAACTTTTTGCCATTGTATCTTGCATTCTATTCACTGCCTCAGAAGAGGACTTCAAAGCAGGTTTAACTAGATCACTAATACGTTTCCTTCGTTTTTTCCGTGTACCTGTATTCAGCTTCTTCAATTTCTTGTACACTTCAAAGTGAGGAGTCTTCTTATTTAGCTTTTGGGTTTTTTTCAAAGCAGAACTTGAACTGACTGATGAAAGAAAATCAGAAGACTTCTCTCCCTTGCTAACTTGTTCGTTATGCTTCGCCAGTGTGTACACTTCCCCACCAGAGGAGCCAAGTACTCGCCACTTAAAGCTTGGCTCTCGCAAAAGAGACTTTCGCTTTCCAGACAGGCTTTCTGACAGGTGGCTTTCAGTAGCAAGTGTCAAGTTCTGGTCAGGCTCTGGAGTTACTGACAAATCAACATCTGACAGCCTACCTGTTGGAAGGTCATCACCCTGCACTGAGTTTTCAGGAAATTGGTGGTCTTCAACAGGACCATCTTTCTTTTTATATGAGCGATGGTGCAAATTAAAGTGGTGACCTTTTTTGGGGGAGGCCCTGCGTGGCAAAACAGACATGCCAGCATCATCCATGAACCTCATTGGGGTTTTGATGACACGTGAGGAACGTGCACTAACCACAGGCATTATAAAGTGGCGGATATTCTTGAGAAACTTTGATTTACCTTGTTTGATATTCCTGGAAGCCAAATGTGGCTCTGCCTGAACCCCAACTGTTTCTTCTGAACTAAACAGCTGCGTGGTCAAGCCCAATTCTACTTTTTTGCTTAAAATGGTCGACTTAGTTCTTGGCCGCTTCACCCCATGGAATGGAAGGGATGAGGTAGGAACTGGTTTCCTTCTGTATTTCTTCTTTAGAACACCAACTAGTTTGGGTCTTGATGGGGTTGATGTGGCAACAGGAGGGCAATTATTATCCAATGCAACCTCCTCCTCTTTGGGCAACTTTGGAAGTCCACCCCGTTTCAATCTTGGTCCAATTAATGATCGGCGTCTCTTTTTCCCACGTTTTAATGGGTGTCTGATGTAGCGTGAATGTGACCTTTCAGATATTGGAGGATCTAACACAAGCACTTCACCGTCTGTTGGCTTCTTTTCCAGCTCTCCTTTGCTTTCTGCCTGTGAGTCTGGCATAGTCTGAGGTTCAGAAGAACTTGATTCAAAGGCATTTGTGGGCTCTGAGTCCTTTCGGCTTGAGGAAGAACATTCTGTATTTTTAATTCCCATTTCATTTGGTACAGATTTTGGTTCAACAATAGCAGCTAACATTAATTCCTCAGTCTGGACCTCATTTTGGGCAGCAGGCAAGACTGACTGGATTTCAGCACCATTGTTTTGCTTACTCTTACGTTTATGGGTTGTCCACGGTTTGTGGCCACGCTTTTTGCGTGATGAGGCTAGGGGTAATCTAGTCTTTCGCTTAGAGATGGGGGGAGCAATCACCTCCAAAGTCAAAGGTTCTTGTGGAATTTCAGTGATATTACCTGCAGTGAACACTTTTTCAGGAGGATCAGGATTGATTCTCCTGATAAAGAGAGATGGCTGCATGTTTTGTTTTCCTGGAGAGGAAACCAGTTTCAGCTGAAGTGGTGGAACTGCTTTTTGTGATATCACAATATCATCTATTTGTGTTCCCTCCTCCAGATGTGCTTGAACTACCTCTACCTTTTCAACTTCAAGTAACGCACTGGGTGTTTCACTATCGAAAGACTTTTCCTGCCTCTCTTCAGGTTGAGTTACAGAGGCAGTATCAACTTTGGCATCCTGGTTATCCTCCTTGTACTGGCTCTGAGTCACCCAAGAGTCTGTAGATGCAGCTTGGATACCTTCTGGCATTACTTTTGTCACTCCTACTGTCTTTCCAAAATCTACGGACTCTTCCATCTTTGTATCTTTGCTCTTGCCTTTCACAACAGTCAGCGTCCAAACAAATTTACTCTGTTTCTTCCTAGAAGAGCCTTTGCTACCCCTGCCTCCACGAGACCGGCCTGAATCACCTACCATAGCCTTAGGGTTCCTCACCCTTGTCAATTTCAAGCCAGGAACACGCATATCTTCACCTTGTTTTTCATACAATAAGTTCTCACCAGGTTCTGTAGATGGTGTTTCCAACTCAGTAGCCAAAGAAAGTTTAATATCAGAAGCTTTGAAGACATCCCTCTGCTCTTCACTCCCAACTCCGCCATTGCTCTCCGTGCCCACTGGTTTGTCAGCTCCTGGGTTTGAAACCTCTGACAATTCTCTGGTCACACTTTCTTCCTGGTTGTTTTCTGATGTAACAATAAGGTCTCCATCATCTTCTAATAACGAAGCCTGCTTTTTAGGTGGTACCTTTCCTACTCTGCAAACTTCACTTCTCACTTTTGAAACTGCAGCATTTCCCCTACTTCTTTTTCTATCAGGTATGGATTCAGAACTTCTGTTTTCCAAAAGTAAACCAAGCCTCGGCAGAGTGTTTGTGTCCTCCATTTTCTGGTTATCAATCTCACATTTGGCTCCAGGTTCACCATCATTTGATTCCATTCTCTTACCTAACAGTCGGCGCCCCTGTCTTGCAATTTTGAGACTTTGCCCAGTATCACTTGGTTCTTCAGGTTTTTCAGACTCATAGGTTTCTCTCCCACTCTTTAACTTAACATGAGCACTTGAAAGTTGAGCTCCTTGGATTTGCCTAGTTTTTGATAAAAACTTGAACCCAGCTACTTTGAGCTTTTTTACAGCTTTTTTACGAACTACTACTTCTTTTTTAGCTGTCCTTTTAGTAACAAGCTTCACTGTGATCTTGGGTTTTGAGGTGTTTTGAGACTTCAATCCTTTTTTAATTATTTTAGATGGGCTGTTGTACAATGAATTCTTGCAACCACTTCTCTGTGACTTAGTATTTTCAGTTCTTGGTCTGCATGCCTGATTAACTTTTGAAACTTTTGCAGAAGCTGGGGGCTTAGCATTAGTTTCTGCTGCAACCAAAACTGGAGGGGGCTTGTCTTGTATCTGCTTTGACAACTGAATTTGGACAGGTTTGCCTATAAAAATAGACAGAGGGGAGGAAAAACATTATTCCAAAGCAAGACTTTGTCACTTGTGTACCAAGTGTTGTCACTGAAAAATTTTCCAACTGGGTTCAGTTTCACTCTATGTACTGGTATACTCTTGCAGCCCGGAGACATGTATTTAGTGGTGCTGGTTATTGTGTGTGTGCATGTGTCCATACAAGGTGTTCACTGCCTCAAGTTCCCGTCAGGCTAATAATGACCCTTCACTGGATAGGAAGTTATGGAAGATGGATAGTCATAGGCCAAGTTGATATCTAAACTCCATTGACACAACCACTGATTACGCTAGACAAGTACAAGTTGGACACACTACGAATGTCACTGTAATCAGCAATTAAATCAGTCAAACTAAGTCACTGAAAGAAAGCTAAGAGTGATGCCTGAAATATTTAACTCTTAATGTGCTGAACTGCAGTGATGGAGAATCAGCAATAACTGCAGAGCCCATTTTATGAAAAATAGAAATGAGGAAAATAAATTAATTTCAGTACAAACAGGGCTGAGCGGGGATAGTTTAAAAAAATATATGAATGAAAATACAAGATCAAAGCATGCTTAGCCTAGTGAACATGGTACGCAAATGTTGAGATTATTCCATGCATGCACAATTTCCCTCTAGAGGGAAGGCTAAAAGACAGGGTTTTATGGAGCAAATGATCTAACATCATGGGCAAAACACTTCCTTTAACCTCAGCAGAGGTTCAGAGCTCAAACAAAAGAAACACATCCATAAAAGAAAATTAAAGGGTTTTTCTACAACAATAGTCATATTTGCAGCACTGGCTAAACATAAATGCAAGGCATACAACAGGTGTAAAACACTGTAAGCAAGCTTGTACATTAGGGCTGTGCAGTATCTAAAAGTAAGTTCTTTTATATTAGCAGTGCTGATCATCGTTTTTTATCTCAAGAAAATGGTCAATCGGTGGGTCACATTTAATTATTATTAAAAGACGTCACAAAAAGTGTAAACCCATCTGAAGCAGCAGTTCCTTAACCTCTCCGACAAAAGTAATAATTGTCAGTTAGTCAAAGTCATATATCAAAACCAGGTTACTTGTCCGCTATTGCTGATTATTGATATATCATATCAGCCAGACCTATGAATATAAATACTGTATTTCTTTATTCTTTAAGCAAAAAACAGTCTGGAAATATCTTTAATAATCCATTAAAAGGATATCCTTTCAGTTTATTGCCAAAATGGCTGACCACCTTCATAAATAAAAATCCATCTTTTGCGGTGCATTTCCATTTCACTGTAAGCCTACCAAATGACTCAAAATACACTACTCTGTATTTAGATATGATTCTGCTTATGTGTGCCCAACAGCCTATTATTGTAGCTGTCATTATCATTCCTACAAATGCAAGTTATTCCTTTTAGCAATGCAAAAACAAATTGAGCAGTGACGACACTAAATGTAATAACATGCAAAATAAAAATGTTTCACACCAAATATTTAGAATGAAACAAGTGCAAAGGAGTAACTTTCAAAACAGAATGGGTACAATATAGGTCATACAGGAATTTTGTTTAATTCAGAGCTTATGATATGAATAAGTAAAATAAATAAAGTTTGTGATCAAGATCCATCTCAGTGTAAATTATAAGTAATAAGAGAAAAAATAGCACACCAAATTTACAAAGCTTTCACTAGGTCATCCATTACTACCATTATGGTTTACACAAACTAAGCAACAAAGATAGACATGGCAGTGCCTACAATCAGGCGGAATACTTACTTTTGCAGGAACGTTGTCCAAAACGAAGTGTGGTCCTGTAGCCTGCTTTTTTCACTTCAAACCCAGGGAAATCATCTCCCTTAAAGATGGACAAGCATAACAAACACTTCAGAGGTCTTTATTATACCATGCATGGTCTTATCCAACATCACGTCAGCCAATTCAGTTCTAGTCCTTAAATTATTGTACTGAAACTGAATGAGGACTCCAATCTAATTAAAACTGGTGATGGGAAAAAAGTAAAAAAGAATATCTGTTTGGGCTAGAAACACTGATATCTAAGCACCAATAGAATTTGATTCTTACACTACAAATTACAGCTAAATATTAAGATGGGTCATTTGATTACAAATTTTACTTTATTTCAGAGAAATTGCTCCAATTTAGGCCAGCCGAAACAGGCTTAAATTAAATGCATGAACATGCAGACTGAGCTCTCAACAAATATTTGGGCATCCAGAAAAGATATTAACTTGAAGAACAAAGGATCATCATCTGAAACTTTGCATATTGCTAAAATGTAAAATCAAACAGATAACAGAGCAACATTCATAGCTGGCTTTTCAATATCCCATATCACTCTGGTCATTTTAAGCCACCTCAATTATTTTACTTGGTAATAAAAAAAATCTAAAATCCTTCTATGCATACTTATCAAAGTGCTTGCAAAACATGCTGAATTCATTTGGTGTACCTGTGGTATCTCCTCCCATGGTATAAACTATACCTCTGTTCATTGGTACTTTAAATAAATGCATATTTTAATTAAATTAAATTCACACAAATACGCAGCATAATTCTTTCACTACGGAGAATCCACACTTGCATCGCATTTCTCTAAAAATGAAAATTCACTGAAAAATTCAATGACCTCATGATCAGTCCTGCAAGTAAAACAAACTAAAAAAGTACCCCCCCTCAATAAACAGACAATTCAGATTCTGACAGACTGGATGGATGATTCAAGTGCTTCACAATTCTACATGCCACCTATGTATAATCCCATTCACTTTAATGTGAATTAAGGACACAAAAGTGCTAAGCTATATTATCACGCTTTGCATTGCTACAAATACTTAATGTAAATTAAGTAATGTGAAACATAAAAGACTTAATAGCACATACAAAGTAGCGGTTTACTAATATTCAGCTATGAAACTCAGTTTAAAAAAAAACGTTCCAGTCAAAATGTCAATCTTAAGGATCAACTGTACGATCTTTCTGTAACCATAACCTTTTCACTATTTAAGCAAGAAATAAAAGAAAATATTTTTATATATGAAGACAATCAGACATGTCTCATTAAACGTGTCCTTATGCTGAGAAAGAAGAGTACCATTTCTACACACCACTCGTATGACAGGTTGAACTTCATCTCCTGCTGTCAAACAGCCATTCAACTTGCAAAGTACCCTGACATCATTTATGGCTGAACTGTGAAACAACCCAAACTCGGCAAGACATAAAACGTGCACATATATACACTTTTAACGCAAAACGCGCATTTCCTAAGTGATGCAGTTATTGTTTTAGCGGAGTTGTACCAGGAACAATGGCGCTTCCATTTAAAAGTCCGCTCCAAAGTACCAAACTCTGCCGATAACACGGTAATATCCAAGGCATTTCGCTTCTCTGTATGTAGAAATGAAGCTCAGCCTATTCTTTTAGCATACTTCATTTACTATAAATTAGATAGAACTGAAATTTAGATTTTCCCTCCATTAACTTGTCTGCAATCACCGTTCTCTAACGACTCCTTAGTCTCTTTACTGGCGTATCCATAACACTTAGACATAATGTAAATTGTCCACAAAAACAAACCGTATAATAGACGCTTATGGTTTTGAACCTTGAGTTAAAGCGCCCATTTTGATGCACCCGGTTAACCAGAATTTCTATTTCATTGAAGCTAACTGGCTAGCCCCCCTCCCCCTCCCCTGCACAATTAGCACTAGCAAGCTAATAGCCACAACCAATACCATTTCGCCAATGTAATCTACATAAACAACAAACAAACTGTTCATTTAATTGTGAAAAGAATTGCATTTGGTACCATGTGGCAGCTCAAGAAAATGAAAACTTGCTACCACTAACCAGTTGATGACAAAACAGCTCATAGCTAATAACTGTTAGCTATCCCCTTTTGTAGCTAGGCAGCCTAGTTATCTGTGCAGCGGCTTATTCTCAGTTCTCCAAGCGCTTAAATGTATGCAACTAATTAATTTAAGACATGCAAGTTCAGTAATGTCGCACGATATTATCCACGCAACTTCAGACACGGCCTCTGTAAACTCACCTCTTCGCTGCCACTTGAGCTGTAGCCGGCCTCTCCCAGGCGCTTGTGTTTCGCCTCTATCCCCAGTAAGCGTAAATGAGAAGGGTCATCGCTCGCTACCAGTCCACTGCTGGCGGGCCTTGGGCCTCCAGTGTCCGTCTCTCCGGTATCGATCCTTAACCGACCGAGCTGCGAGCGCCTCTCCGAACGCAGACGGCTGCGAGATGACCACGGCCGACCCGGAAAGCGCCCCCGAGCTGCGGCCATACCGCTTGGGCCTCCAACAGCAGACGCGGTTGCCGATCCGCATCCCGCCGCCGCCATCATTAGCTTCGACAACAACACCGATGGAGTTTGAGAGAGACTAGAGGGGAAGGCGCGAGATAGGGAGGGGGAGCCACAAGCACCATGGGAAAACGAGTCCTTAACTACAGCGGCGTTGATTTAACCCACTTAAAATATATAGCAAAACCATGACCAAATAACGAAAACAAGAGACAACATTTTCTGAATAAATCTTTACGTTTTTTCGAATGGATAGAAAAAAATATTTCAACTACTGCGTTTCTGTACCGCTTCGCATAAATTCGACTACGTTTCTTCCGACATTACAACCGTTTTAAACTACAAATTCCAGCTTGCTTTACGATAACTCGAAGCATTTCATTCAATTACTCTGCTTTCAATGGTGTCCAGGCTTGCAGCTGCAGTCATGTGAACTACATTTTCATGTGTGCTTTGCAATAAAAAAATACTGTAAGTTATTTAAATGTATTATTATAAACCGTGTAAACGAAGTAATTTTGCAGAATATTACGTGACGTGCTGAACAAGAGACTCGTGCTTAAGTGAACGATTACTCTTTTTATTGAATGAAGATAGTCGCGTCAGAAAAATGTATGTTGAAATAACTAATTTATTTAACCGTCTGTAGTTTTGCTAGCATACTTTTCCTGCGGTTTTGCATCTGATAAATGATTGCATTTTTTTGCACTAGTGATACATGTTTCCATTTTTATGGAGTCCAAATGGTAGCGTTACTGGCACTCAAATGCTAGGGTGAGTATTGTGGAAAAATGGGACAGTTAACTTTGCAGTTAACGTATGTGTTTAGTAATAAGTTATTTTCTCGTCTATACGACGTTCAAGGAACATTAATGTATTTAGAATGGTTCGGATTCAAGACATGATGATTTTTCCAGAAAGCACATTTTCAGACTGTCCAGTTTTAACAATACCCACCCTATCTGTATTATATATAAATAATCCAGCAATAAGTAAATAAACACACACCATTTGCTGTTATATGCGGACAAGAATTAATATGTCTGTTCTTCAGACTGAAATGGAAAACAATATTAATTACTCGAAATGATTTTGATTTATTTCAATTATTAATTATTTGCCAGCTGGTCAGAAACTACAGTACCCAAGATGCTTATGGAGGGAGCCGGATATAAATCTATATTTCGGAAGTGGCGAGGCGTTATTTTTGAAAGCGGAAGTATAATATTTGCGTTTTTATTTTGCAATTATCCTTAAGGTAAAGTATCGAAATTCGTAAAGAAACAGACACACAGTTACTTTAGAAACCGCTGTTGTTATATGTAAAGCGACGAACTAACTAGAAATACCACGTCTCCAAATGAGTAATCTTGTAACTAGTGTTAACGACAAGGTAGATGGATTTAACAGCGTTAATGACTTAGGTGAAGTGGAACGGGCTTTAGCTTATGTGAATTCATATAAAACGATTAATATGTATAAATCGTATTTTCTGAAAAGAAACGCTTCTCAGAAATAACCGATTCTCTCAAAATCTATAAAATGATCATGATCATCATATAGTTATCCAATGTGCAATATGCAACATTTTTTTTTTTTTAGGTCTGGAGGTATCGTCATGAATCTCGAACGGGTTCCTAATGAGGAGAAACTAAACCTGTGCAGAAAGTACTATTTGGGTAAGTGTTTTTACGTTTGAATTTGTAATGTAATTGGAAGCATTTTAGTATCTAAACCAGTGGTTTTCAGTCCTGGTCCCAGTGACCCTAATTCTGTGGACTTTCAGTTAACTACCATTCATTAAAAATGGTCTTATAAATATTTATATAGTAGAATTAATATATATCTTGTGGGTTAAACAAATGTTATTTGATTCTGTTATTTCATTAAATTGTTATTGACATTATTATTATAAACATTGCAATATTTAGTTAGTTTGCGGTAGTAAAAGGGGGAAAAGGACTCGTTGAATGAAAATCTCAGAGAAGAAACCTTACATTTCCATGCTAGATTTTTTTAATAGAAAGGTTGTGCCAAAGGTTGTTCCTAGATTAGATTCTAGCATTTATGACATTAACCTATTTTTTTCCCAGGTGGATTTGCCTTTCTTCCATTCTTGTGGCTGGTTAATGTTGTGTGGTTTTTCAGAGAAGCTTTTGTAAAGCCAACATACACTGAACAGTCTCAGATCAAAACATGTAAGTATGCAATCACTGGAATGTGTACATGAGAACTTGTAGTAATATACACTTATTAAATCATCATTTTATCATTGTATGTTTCTTTAATACTAATTTAGGTTTTGGCCTTCGTTCACAGATGTTAAACGATCTGCCTTGGGCTTGTTACTCTGGGTGGCTGTACTCACAACTTGGATAACAATATTCCAGCATTTCAGAGCACAATGGGGAGAAGTTGCTGATTATTTGTCCTTCACTATTCCACTAGGCATTCCATAAAACCAAGAACAGTAAAAAGATGCTTGCTTTACTTTTTTCCAACAGTTACCCTAACCTAAACAGTTTCCGACTGAACATTAGAGAATCTCCCCTTATTTTTTACCAGATTAAAACTGTTTTCCTAAATCATTTGTTTCGGTAACAGAATAAGATAGATTTGAAAAATCAAAATGTGATGTTTAGCTGTAACTCTGTAACACATAGTAAAGAACATCCTATTTCTGGGAAGAGTGAATATTTGTTGGTGTACTATACTTAAATCTCAAATTGCATCAGTTGCTATAATATGTAATATTTTCAAGATATAAAGAATGTCTTAAATTTAAATTGATACGCTTTTAGAACTGTCATTGAAACCAAAATAAACATGTAGGTAAATAAACTGTGTTATATATTTTTTTAATATCTCAGAAAAAAAGAACTGTCTGAATATACATTGTCGTGTCATTATCTTTGGAGGAAAATTGTGGTAGCCAAGTACATATCAATCTAGTTGTGCTGTCTTTTTAATGGTGATGCAGTTAAAAAAATATCAGGGTATCTGGCACATATTTTATAACAAATTCCTAATGTAGGGGGGTAAATTACTTATATTATTCAAAGTATTTGGACCGGCCCTCTTGGACCAGCCACCTGCATCTGTCAGATATTATTGTCAGACTATTATTAAATGATCGCCCTTTGTAGTTGTATGGCAGCTAGTTGTTTGCAGTTGATGGAGTAATGGCAATGCTTCCTTTTCTATATGGAGGCTAGTTTGGAACAATGAATGCCTTTGAGAGCTCTGCAGTTTTTAACTTTAAACCTGTCAATACCATTTTAGAGTAACTCTGGTCTGGATTGCTGTAATCACTTACAAAGTAATAATCTAAGCCAGTTGTTATACATACTTAGCCATGCATCTCAATTATCATATGATAATGAACAACAGACCTTCAGACCAATCAACAAAAAGATATTCTCATTACAACAGCTGGGGGAAAACTAATGGCATCCTTTTGGCAGTAAGTAGTTATATTTCTGGCACAGTGGTTAGCTCTGCTGCCTTACAGCGAGCAGGTCCTGGGTTTGGTCCCCAGGTTGGGCGTAGGTCTTTTTTTTTGTGGAGTTCGCATCCTCTCCCCATGTTGGCCTGGGTTTCTGCCAGGGGCTCCGTTTTCCTCCCTCAGTCCAAAAGTGTGCACGATAGGTTAATTGGCGACTCTAAGTTGGTCCTGTGAGTGTGTGTGCCCTGCGGTGTGTTGGTGACTGCCCAGGGTTGTTTCCTGCCTGCGCCCATTTTTCCAGGGATAGGCTCCGGTCCCCCACTGTGACCCCGGTTGGGATTAAGCGGTTACGGTGATGGATGGATTGTTATATTTCATAAGAAAAGTCAGGCAACCAATTTTGCAAAATAGGTTATCAGGGACAAAATATCATACTCATAATCGTAATCTAATTTTACTTCTTAGTTAATCTCTTAGACATCTTCTGAGCCAGTTCACTTTACATGTGTTGATTTCACATATTATTATTTTAGTTCTATTCTTAATTTTTTGTACCTTATTTCATTGATTGAATATTGTTATGGATTTGATTTGTATTTTATCATTGCTACCTATACCAGACATGAGAACCTCATATTGTTCCTTTCATGTACAACATGTTTTGGAATGACAACCAAACGTCCTTTATCCTTTAAGAACAAAATGTAATACTTTATAGGGCTGTTGCTATGAAGGAATTTCCCCTGTGGTGATATACAGTATTATTGCCATCTTTTGTGTTGTTTTGTAAATTACTTTGTTTATCCTGATTTTAGTGTTATATGAATATGTTTTATTGCTAGGCCATTATTAGGTATATTGTTGCCTTTTAAATATGAGTGTTTTAGGGCCCATCCTTGGTTCCGGAAGTTGGTCATAAATTAAAAAAAAACGTTATTGCAAAATAATAAAAGTCTGAAAATTATTGAAGTATAAAAATATAAAAGTTTCTACTTATCTTAAATCATTATCCAATCATATTCCCATTATAAGAAATATATTTATAGTATTTGAACATGGACACCAGTCCGAATGTGCACTTCTAGTTTGTCTATATTGTAGTGCTAAGGGCAGCGCTGCAGCTGAATGGGTACTGCATGTAAATAGTTCACTGTCTGTTTTGGGTAACGTGGGACTAGCTTGCAGCTCCCCACCTATCACACCTAAGGCATTCACAATCTCTCCATGGGTGCCACACCCCTTTGAGTAGAGAGTAGCATTAGTTTCCCTTTTTGTGTAAAACTGTAGTTGTTGTTGTGATTTTCCTGTCCAACGTAATTACATGTTTGCTTACTGTCTCCTGTGTACCTTTCAATATCTGAATATGTAACAACTGTGTTAATGCGTGGTCAAAATGTCTGTCCCCTTCTGTATTTTTCTCTGGTTTGTGTGTGTGTAGAAAGGTCTACTCTTTCTCTTAAATTACTTTATTTCTGCTTAAATTACAGTCCTTTTAAAGGCTCAAAATAAGGGTCTTTTGGTAAGTGCAGATGTTGTTTGCTTTATGTCTTTGGCGCATCAACGCTACAGCGTTGTCTGGAGCAGGGTAGCTGAAGAAATTACCTCAGAGAACATCCAAAGACTCAAGCAGGACCTGGAAGAAGAAATAGCAGTGCTCCAGTTGGAGATAGAGGGGAGGAGCAAGTTTTGTGCTACTGAGAGGGACCAACTAAGGGCAGATGGAGTGAGCACCCGCAGACAACCCAAGCTGAGAAGGTGGACCAAAGTTCCCACCACATGCAGTATCCTCACCATCCCTGCCACCCAGGCAGCACTAGTCAGGCTGCCAA